GAGAGGGAGGGGGGAGGATGCAACTACCCCAACGAACTTTTAATTGTGAAGGGCATTCAATTTGCCAACCGAGACAGGACTGTCTCCACTCTCCAAAACTCTTGCCATGGGAAACCCAACTAATAATAATAATAATAATAATGCTACACAATAAATACGTGGCATACCCTGTGACATACTTCACTTGGTTAATGTACATATCCTTGAACGAAAAAAGAGTTTCACTACTGTAAGAGTGTTGTACTTCCTTTATACACGCTATGATTTTATCTTTATAAATATTTTTTTTATGTCGAAGATTGATGAACCCGACATCGAATTTAGTACGATGTTGACATGGCAAGCAATGAATGAAGGAGTATCCATGCTCGAATATTACCATATATTTTCTTTTAAGACCAAACGGTTGGAAGTTTGATCCTCGCCTTCACGTGTTGTTGAACTTTTTAAAATAAAATGGTGGATTACAAGTTTAGTCTCTAAACGTTAATTTGGTTGAGATGTATATTTTTTATCAAGGAAAAATTTCAGCTCTACGAGAATACTCTACATTCTTTTGTTTAAACTAAGTAAAATGCTTGCGTCGATTTTAATAATACAATGCTGAGTAGGAGTAGTAAATGGAAGGAGTCTTGATGCTGTAATACCGTAAATTTTTCCCTTAACTAAAAGGAAAAATAAAAAAAGATGAATTACAAAGTTAGTCTCTGAACTTTTAGTTTGATAAGTCTCAACTTTAAAATTTGACTAATAAGTCTCTCAACTTTCAAATTATCTTTTACATTTATGGACCTATTAAACACAAATTTGAAAGTCTGAGTAATTTTTAAAGTACAAGGACCTATTAGAAATAAAATTTAAAACTTAGAATTTTATACTTTGAAGATCAATGATCTATTAGACACAATTTTAAAAATAGACCTTGTAACTTAAAATAGAAAAAAAATTTAATTTATATATTTTTCTTAGCATTTATATAAAAAGCATAAATAAAATTTGTATTTTTTTTAAAACTTACACTTATTCTAAATCAAATGCAAATCAAACATAAAAAGTCGCATTTATTCTCTGTTTGAAGAAGAAAATGAAAGATTATGATTTTTTAATAAATTTATGTTTTGTAATTATTGCAATGAAACACAGAAAAATCACATCTTGTTATGGTTACGCATTCGAAATTTTAATATGAGGAACTACTCTAACAAAATTTGAGAAATTATTGCAATTAAAACTTAGTAGTTATAACCCAGTAACTATAATAAAATTTGACTGAATTGGAGGGGAAAAAAAAAAGGAAAATCTGTAATTGTCTACTTTCAAAATTTATTTTGGTCTTCATATTTATTAAAAATATATTTTTGATCTTTATATTTTCAGTTTTGTCTATTATAATTTCTGTACCGTCGAAATATCTATTTTAGTGTCTATAGACTATACAATTAAAAAGTAAATTTGTTAGTAAATTCATTTTCTTTTTAATCTCTCAACTTGATGCTATACTCAATAAATTTCTTGAAATGTAGTCATAATTTTGTATTAAATTATTTTCTTTGTTAGTATAAAATTTGTGTTAAATTTTTTTAAACAATGACTAAAATTGCAACTTAAAAAAATATATAGATTAAAATAGACATCTTGAATAATAGTTAAAGGGACAAAATTAAAGTAGACATTTTAAAAATACGAATATCAAAATGAATCAAAATAGGTAGTAATTTAATTTAAGCCTATACGCCAATTACTACACTTTGGGAAAAAAAATCTTTATTTAAGAAAAAAGAAATAATTTCTCAGATTAAAATTTTGTACTACTGTAACAATCCTGTTTTCTGTTACGTTCCAAAATGATATTGATCTTCCGAAAAAAAGGGAGAGAATAATAATAATTTTCTTATATAAAAAAAGAATAATAATACATGATGTCAAACATAGGAATAAATTTTGCAATTTGAGAGGACTTTTGAAAAAAATAAAAAAATAAAAATTCCACTTGGAGCTAATTTTCTTTTAACTTTACGGAATTGTTGCCTCGAGATTAATTTTTAAATATACATTATGTTAAATATACGAATAATTTTTCTTAAGTGCCCCTAATTGTCGAATTATAATCTCGAGATTATTATTATTATTTGGAAATGAGAAATATGTAAATATTGAACGATTTTTTTTCTTTTTTTTGGCTCAGCTACTTCTAACTGTGCGATTTGTCGGATGGTATTGCTGATGTGGTCAAATTTTAGTGGTCAAAAAGCAATACCGTACGTTGGTAAACTACGCGTCGGCCATTAGATGGAAAGTGTAGAGTGGATTGCCAAATCTTACATATTTAATCACCTCATTTTCTTATTCTCAGGTATCAAATTTTTTTTTTTTAATTTTAAATCATAAGTTTGAATGGTAAAATGAGAATAACTCGACGGTAATTGACATATATCTCAAATCAATAGATTATGAACTCGATCCCCACCTCACATATTGTACTAAAAAGAATAGGCATATGATAAATTTAATATGTATTTAAAAAAAATATCTCAACCTTTTATTTATTTTTAAATATAAACATAAGTTTAGACATTATTATTTTTAAGTTTGAGTTTGGTTTGTATTAGGTCTTTTTTTTTTTCAAACATGTTTATTTTATATTATTTATGTAAATATCTCAAAGACTTTTAGATAATAATGAGTAATGTAATTATGTAATTATCTTATCATGCAATTAATGAAGAAATAAAATGAATAGAGGCATATTTTATCAATAAAAATTAATTTTTATAATTTAAAGAGTCGAACTTAACCACCCAACTTCTGGATATGACCAAAACGTTCATATTTAGACACAAACTTCCAAGTCAGTACTCTCTAGTCTCTAACTTCTCAAGCTTCATATATTTCCATTTTTCCGCATACTAAATATTCCCTTAATGTGCTTCTAATTTTAAAAAATATACAAATTTTCATAAAACAACAACAATCAGATACCATTGTACCATCTTTCTTTCTTTGCCGAAGCATTAAAGATATAAATAACATCACCTTTATTTTTCCCTCTTTTAAACTTAACTTGTTGATGACGTTATCCAGCGGGTCTATGCATCTTTTGATAGGGCTATGAGATAAGTCAATCTACAGCATACCTCGAACCAATACGGTATTCTGTTTAATGTCCTCTGACGGTGAAGTTAGTAAATCAGAAGAGATGATGAAAACGGAGAGCGCATTGAGCATTGAGTGATAGATTCTAGACTTACCTTGTGAGGTGGGGTCTTATCTCTTTTATAGGTGTCAAGGCCGATTAGAGAGAAAGTCTTGTTAAGGATCCCACATTGAAAAGATAAGATATCTAACAAAGGTTTATAGTATAAGTGGATACTTCTCTCGTTACCAATTAGATTTGAGATAAAATACCTATGAATATTAATATGGTATCAAAATCCAAAAATTCAAACGAGTATCCAATGAAAAAATAGGGACATCTAAATTGGGACACCACTCCCAAATTGATACACAGTTGTAGGGTACCTAATTTAATTTGAGATTTTATTTAAATGGGTATGCAATTTAAATATGTCTAGCCAACCCATTCAATTTTGCTAGGTGGGGAAATATCTATTTCTTTTCTACAGTAAAAAAATATCCTATTTATTAACCTACATATCCATGATTGGGGGATTGATGATATTATTAAAAGTAAATCTTTTATAAGCTTGAAATTTATTTAGTGTTCATATTATAGTATGAATGATATGATTGATATAAATGGTTTGATATTCATCTTTATTTATGATGCAATTTTTTTTCTCTTGTAATATAGTAAAAATATATCTCTCATAAATAATGCTATTTTTTAAAAAATATTTTATATATAAATATACATCCAGATAATTGGTTGGAGTTGAATTGAAATGGATTCCAACTTTTGATTTTAATTGAAGGTGTCCTTATCAATTTAATTTGAGTGTGTCCTACGCATTGCCTCCATATGTCTCACCTTAATTAACATCAAATTAAATGCATCTCTCTCCCCGTCTTTCTAATTATGTGTTAATAATATTAATTGAATGGGATTAGGAAACAAGTGTGATTAAGAGGATTAATAGGGTTCTTTTCTCCTTTCTTTAGGAAATAGCAATAGGGTGTTATTTGTTAATCCTTAAAGGTCAGATATATCAACCTCTTAGTGCGAATCCTACTCCTACTCCTATGTGCTATTACAATGTAATATCATAAAAAAATTGACTTAGATACTCACAAATATAAATAATAATAATAAATATATTATCGGTGGATCTTTTCTCTAAATAAGATTAAAGAACAAAAATAGTTACTTATCATGAAAAAGAAATCAAATAATTAGGAAATAATACTTTTCCATGATAATTACTTAACTTTTAAAATTTAAAATTAAAGACTTATTTTCTCTTTATTTATATATTTTTCTCTCCTATTTATAAAAAAAAATATAACTTTGGTCAACTTGAGATATCT